ACACACACACACACACACACACACAGTCTGACTCGTCAAAGAGTGTCCGTCAAGTTAGGCTAGTGTCATCACCAAACACTCTGTATCATTCAAGCGGGAATGGGCTACCAGAAGTTAAAAGTGCCCTGCAGTGTAGATTCTGTCACGAACCCATAGAATGGGATTTAAATATCAACCGTGATCAGAAACTAAACTACATCAGACCACACTTACTGATGGTGATTTCCACTTGGTTAGTATAGTCTATGGCAACTCCCATGGGTAGTGAGTCATCACTCTTGTCTGTTACAGGCAGTTCAGCTCGACTAGAATCCTCCAGGAGCCAAGATTCCCAATTAACCTGGAAGAAAGAAGCAGAAGGTGAAAATGCTGTGTTGGTAAGAGCTCTGCGTTGGTTCTTCTACCATTGTTCAAATAGAAGAGAAGGAAAAAAAAAAACTCTCGGTTTCGATTTCTTTGTTGACTAGAGTCAGACATCTGGGAAGATGGTCTAAAAGCCATGAACGTCCTAGCAAGTGAGGGGTTAATATTCCAAATCAACCTATCTGCCCCTGGTATACCAAGTCTCTGCCTCGGGAATAAATAACCGCTATCATGAACACTTTCCGAGGTACCGTCCAACCCAACTAGGTAGATTCCTAAATATGGTGGGTGAATCTCATACCTGCACCAACCAGTCAGCAGCTGCCCCTGGAAATGTGGGACCAGGACCTCCAGTTGATGGCTACTGCGGTCTTCCGCAAGGCGGCTAATAAAGCTGGCCACATGCTCTATGCTTGCTCATCCACGGAGACAGACGCACCCTTAGTTCCTGTCTTCCCAGATCGCGGCATCACTTCCTCACACTGGTCCCCCTTCCTGCCTTTGGGGTCCTTGAGAAACCACTACGTCTTTCCCATAAACTGCCCTGTTGCTCCTGTCCGCCTGAGTGGGCTGTATTCCTGCCAATAAATGACTTCTGATTTTTAAAAATCACATTTGTCTAACTTTCAGTGTTGACCCAAACTGGGCAGCATGAATCAAAGGGGAATAATAATGCTCCATGAATAACAGAAAAGCAAAAAGCTGTTGAGGAAAGGGAACACAGTCGTATTCCATGACTTTGCAATGGTGAGAGTAACAGTCACATTCATAATAATGTAAACAAAATTGATGTCAACTTTGAAAAACAATCTACACACAAAATAAAGAAGACTTGGGGCGGCTGCGTGGTTCAGTCGGTCAAGCGTCCGACTCTTGGTTTTGGCTCGGGTCGTGACCTCACAGTTTGCGAGTTTGAGCCTGGCATCAGGTTCTGCACTGACCGTGTGGAGCCTGCTTGGGATTCTCTCTCTTCCTCTTTCTGCCTCTCCCCCGCTCATGCTCTCCCTCTCTCTCTCAAGATAAACTTAAAAAATTTCAAAATAAAGAAGACTTGATAATCACTACGGAACAGAATGCAAACAATACCAATTTTGATTTTACAAAAGACGAGCCACAGAATGCCAAGAGCTGGAAGGCAGGAGCGGGGGAAGGTGTGCTGAACGCAAGGGTTGGGGAGAAGGTATTCCTCCCACAAAGCGGAAGGTCAGAGAACTTCACCGTGTATGATGTCATGAGAAATGAAGGTTAAAAAATGTTACTTATAGTTGCAGAGCCAGCCAACAGAAGAAACTACAATAGGACTGTAACCCTAGTAAGGGAAGGACAAAGATTTCAGGGCCTCAAGTGAGCTATATCCTCACCTGCCACAACAGCCAAGAAGGTCTAAAATTAATAATCACTATCTAGTGATAAGGCAGAGTATTACTTAGGGATAAGGAGGTTAGCTTTTAAAAGAAAAACATGCTACAAGTTTGAAAAAAAAAAAGTCCTCTAAACAGGACTGGATAAGGACAGGGTAGGGCAGGGGTGAGTTTTTTCATTTATAAACCCTTTTCTAGAATTTGATTTTTTAACCA